CACTTTGATAGAAGTTTTGAAAGTTGTTTTTTTTATATTTTTTATTTTTACTTTGTTGAATTGAATATAAATAATATACTTTAATAAACTTTGAATATAAAACTACTTATAACTGTGTTATGGTAGTTAAGGAATACTATGGGCAGAATTTACTATCCAAATTTAAGTAGTCATAAAAGGTAGTTAAAAAAAAAAGAGAAATAGTTTTTTCAGTAAAAGATCTGGCTTATAAAAATATATATTTATGAATATAGTATTTTGTATATACATTTACTAAAAAATATATATAAGGTTTGTTTAATTATGTTTTATTTTCAATAATTAGAATTATTGGCTTTGAAGAACTTGGAAACACAGATGATTTCCCATCAGTAGTGTTGGAGAAAAGATTAGCTAAGTCAGGTATAGTATTTTTATCAATAGTCTGCATGTGAACCTTTGGTTTCACTCAAATGTGATGAAGATTTGTCAAGGAAGACACAGGATTACAGCCTTTAAAAGGAAACTCTGTTGTTTTTTTCCAAATTTGAGTTATATATCTTTCTCTCTCAATATATATATATATCTATATATCTATCCAGACTTCAATAACAATGATTCAACTCACAATGACTGCTTGCCAGTTTTTGGGCAGTATCAGATTATTAGATTTTCTAATTTGAACCCCAGCCTTCATTGGGTTTTCTGATGGAATTGGAATTATATTTAGACATCTAGATCTATGAACATTCTCTCCCTCTAAGCATTGCTCCTCATCTGGCTGTTCTCTCAGTTGCTTTTCCAAGCATTTTTTGGTGGATCTCATGTACAAACTATAATAACCAGTGATACAAACAAAAGTGTAGCTCATACTTTTGAAGTATTTCTAAAACTCAAGCATGTTTTGATTTTCAAACACATTAATTCTTTATAGTTGTTTGAGAGAGAAGTTGTTATAATACCAGTAAAGCAATTATTTATTATTATATATTAATCTCCTCTCATCTATATGTACAAACAATAGTGTCTTGCAGAAGCGGTCTGTTTGCTGTACTAGAGAGAATCGGCTGCCCAAATAAGTTAAGAAAACTAGTGTCACGAAAATATGCAGGGCACTGTTCAGTTTGAAAGTTCTTCCTCCAGGCCATTCTCCATCAAGAGCGGTGTAAAACAAGGATGTGTACTGGCCCCTACACTATTTGGCATCTTCTTCTCAGTCATATTAACCAGTGCTTTTTAATCCATGGAAGACGGAATATATATCCATAGCAGATCCGATGGAAGGCTGTTTAACCTGGCACGTCTTAAAGCAAAAACGAAAAGGCGTCATATCTTGATAAGGGAGCTGCTGTTTGCCGATGATGCGGCACTTGTATCTCACTCACAAAGAGGTCTACAGAAGCTAGTGAACGCCTTAGCAGCTGCTTGTCAAGAGTTTAGCCTTACTATAAGTCTCTCCAAGACCGAAATCCTGGCACAAGACATCGCAGAAATACCTATAATACATATTGGGAACCACACCCTTTCAGTGGTGCAGGAATTTACCTACTTGGGTTCAACAATTGTCAGTAACCTAGACATCGAGCTGACAAAAAGGATAGGAAAAGCTACCACAGCATTGGCAAAACTCTCCAAGCGCGTCTGGGAAAATGGTAAATTGACCACAGCGACCAAAATCCTAGTCTACAACACCTGTGTTGTGAGCACTCTCCTTTATGGCAGTGAAAGCTGGTCAACATACATGTACCAAGAGTACAGATTGAATAGTTTCCACTTGTGCTGCCTGAGACGCATAATGGGCATCTCTTGGAGGGACCATGTCTCCAATCAGGAAGTTTTGAGATTGGCCAATATGAACAGCATGTATGCGCTCCTGACACAAAGAAGATTACGCTGGCTCGGACATGTCACCCGCATGCCAGATGGTAGAATCCCGAAAGATATCTTATATGCTGAGCTTGTGGAAGGAGTCAGACCCAAGGGCCGCCCAAGACTAACATATAGAGATGTCTGCAAGCGAGACATGAGAGCCACAGGCATCAGTGAAAATATGTGGGAAAACAGCCAAAGACCGGAGTGCATGGAGACAGACAGACTGTGCGTGCTGGGACAACTCTTGCTGAGAACAAAAGAATTGAAGCGGCCTTAATCAAGAGGGAAAAAAAGAACTGCCCTGTCCACTAGCCCTGAATCAGAGGCATACACATGTAAGAATTGTGGCAAAGTCTGCCGTTCTAGAATTGGCTTGATTAGCCACACCAGATTCTGCCCCATCTCAAGATTAAGCCAAAACCAGGGACTCTTTTGGGTGCATCCATTGCCTTTCGAGACAAAAGGAGCCATATAGTGTCTTGCATGCATTTTGTGTGCATGTGTGCAGTAAAGCTTATGCAGTGTAATTATTATTATGTAATATAACATTATTTGAAGAAAATATTAAATATAATTAATTGTACAGAATATTAAAACTAACTTCTTTTTAAAATCGCCCCGACAAGCCAGTTGAAAAATGTGGGTGTACAAAATTTCCTACATTTTTTTTCTGCTCCCATCACTGTTTATTAATTAAAGTTTAAAGAGAAGTGGTGGAAGATAACAGAAATGGATCAACCAATGATTTTAGTACAATATACTTATACTGTATGCTTGACACTGAGAGTCCACTGTCTCAATTTATGATGATTTTTTCATCACAACAGTCTCATATGAATAAGGAATATCATATGCTCATGGTTAGTCGAGATTTTCCAATGATGTTCTAATTATTGAATCATTTTGAAAATGAACTTGACAGAAGCATGAGTCCTTCTTATCACATCAGCCTTGGAAACTGATAGTTTTTTTTAACCATTTTGTGGTATTACAGGCTTTAAACTCAGTTTGCCAGTGTCTTTGAAAAGCCTACTAATACAAAAACTAACCTTGTTTTCCATTTTATAGTATTCAGTGATATGTTGCTGGTTGTTAATAGTGGTGTGACTTCAAGTACTTGATATTTTAGATGATAAACTAGATGACAATGTAACAAACCAGAACAATGAGATTCAAGTAAAACTGCTTAATTAAAAAAGTACAAACTATTTATTCCCCCCAAAAAGGGCACACCCCTAATCAATGCTGAAGTGAGTCTTTGCTGTTATTCTGTCTCTAGGCTATTTACAGAATAGATTTTTAAGAAATTCTGTTATGATTTTAATACAATACTGTCAAATTGAACTCCTCTTTGAATCACTGAATAGAAAAAGCTGCCATCTTGTACTATGGGTCTTGAGCTTGAAGCCCACACATGACTGGAGGACATGCATACACCCATGCATACACCTACTATGCATACACCCATGCCCATTGCATACACCCATGCATACACCTACCATGCATACACCCAAGCATACACCTACCATGCATACACCCAAGCATACACCTACCATGCATACACCCATGCATACACTTACCATGCATACCCATTGCATACACTCATGCATACACCTAACTCAAATAGGTACCTGACATAAGTGGGAGAAAGTTAAGATGTTTTGTCATTATACTGGCCATATGACATCCTTATTTACTGTAGGCCATATAAACAGATAAGTAAAAAGTAAATGTATCCATTTTTAGACATTGTGTCAATGGGGGCAGATAATTTGAAGTGTATGATTTGGAAGCCATGGGCTTTATAACTCAGCCATCATTCCCCATTAGAGTAAGAGTACTTTTGTATGGTTAACTTAAAATCTAGATCTCCCAAAGCTTATTTTTGCATTCAGTACACTTAGTGTAAATCACAATTTTCTCACAATTTCAATACAATTGTTGCACATCTAGCCTTCCAGAATGTACTCACACTATCCTCAGTTCTGCCTCATCCTTGCTTAGATGTGTGAATACATATTTGATTATTTAATTATTACTATTTATATTGCAATTATATATAGTCTTTTTGTTTCTAGGGGTCATTCAATTATCAGAAGAAGATGATCCTTCCAAAAAAACAATCTTTGGTGGGAAAAAGTCCTTTGTAAGGAACAAGCAAGATGATAGCAGTGATGAAGATTATTGAATTTATAGTTGTTTTTTTAGCTTAATTAAGTAAAAATAGTAGCATATTTTGTTGCATACCAATGATAAAAAAAGTTCATAAATGCTTATCAAAATTCAACATCCCAAGAAAGTTTTTGTTTGTACAAACTATGTTCTAATGACATCATTATAATACAATCTAGACAAACCATTGTGCTATTTACATTTTCCTGTCACTAGTCCAACTACTTGACAAATTTAAAACAAAATAAAATGACATTATCATTTCTATCACATGTTGGCAAAGATTTTTCTATGACTCTTCTCTGAAAACATCCATTTAAAAAAGATTTCTTCAGATTCATTTTATTTCAATAGCAACTGTAAATGCACACTTTATAATGTTCTTTTTACTCCCAAACTGATTGTTGCATTTTTAGGAAACATGACAGTGTCTAGCTGTTTAAAATATTACAACTGTCAATAATTCTGGTATGTGAATAAAATACAATGAACACATTCAATTTTTTTAACTTCTTTTATTGCTTCAATGACTTCCAGCTATTTATAGGTTTAGACACATACAATAAGAAGGTATAAATAAAAAAAACTTAAAATAAATCATTACAAAGTGGTCTCAATCTTGACAAGGCTTATTTCTAAATTGATCACAATCATTTTTGTTATTATGTGATGCTGTGTTTGTAATGTTACTACAGCGCCTTGAGCCTACATTTTTTGTTTGTTAACAGCGCTTTATAAATGAAATTATTATTATTAATGTCATTAGGAAAATATGTGAAACTGGGTGTATAAATATATAAATGTTTCAGAAATGGATAAATAGACATTTAACATATTTTGTTACATATATTAGAAAACAGGGGCGGACTGGGTATCAAAATCGGTCCAGGCATTACCATATAAACTGGCCCACAAATGGCATGTCATATCATGGGCGTAGCCAGCATTTTGGGGGGGGGGGGGGGGATTTTTTTCCTCCTCCCCCCCCCCCCCTATTTTTATATGAGTGTGTACGTCATTCATCTTCATTACAAACTGATCTTTTATTATTTTGGCCGTTTTTTTTTGTACTCTAGAATAGGCTCCTCTTTTAGTTAGTGGAAAGGCAGTAGACACTCTGCCCTTGACTTCTAGGGGGTCTGGGGAGCACTGTGAGTTTCCCCAACAGGGTCCGGGGCTCTGTTCCGGATCCAATCATATTAATGGAATTTAGTGACTGTCATTTCTTTTGTGTTTGTTTTAATGAAGAGGTGGGTTTTTAACCTCGAAATCCCCTGGAGAGTGATGCTAAGATCAACCCCCCACCCCCTTTGGCTGCACTGGCTAGATAAGTAAGTAAAGTTTCCTTTTTAGCCCATGAGGTCTGGGACAAATGATGATTTGAAACTCACCCCCCCCCCCCCCACACACACACATCTATGTGTCATATTATATGCGTAAGCCTAATATAAAATTTGATTATGCATTGAATATTGGATGCATGCTTGCGTAGGATTACGTAATGTATTTTATTTATACATGTATGTGATCTGAACACTATCAACAGTAGGCTACAATAGCACCATTAATAAGTTTGAAATGAATAAATTATTAAATGTTTTGGAAACTTTTTGGTATTACTTACAGATTACAAAAGTTACTTAAAAAAATAAGTAACTACCTCCCACGCATTAAATGTGTCAATCTAGTCAAGCATGTTGATCTGTGACTTCAACTCTGCTGTCGTTGGTTTTCCTGTCTGACTCAGGCACCACATTCCATTAAAAGATGAGAGAATGCAGAATGATTAGAGAGACACTCACTTAATGTAAAATTTCAATGTGAAAACTCTTGCTTCCTCCTAGTACATTCTCAAGAACACAAATTGTACATGAATACACCATGACCCATTATTTGAAATAGAAATATAAATCTCCTTTCATTAAATATTGGATGTGAAAGCGCTATATAAAACCAGATCATTATTATACACATTTTCATCATAAATGACTTCATACTAAGCATATGTTTGCCATTAATTAGGCCTACACTAGAGAAAAAAAATCTGATTTAGATCTAGATTTGTTTTTTTAAAAACAAACAGTAAAATTGTGTGTGTTGAAAGCCTTAAGTGCAGTATTTTTAGATCTATGTACATAAAGAAAGCTTACTTTTCCTTCTCAAATCACAGAAAGAAGAATATACCCATATTGAGCTGTGAATAAGTTGGTTGGGTTTCAATTTTGCGACTGTGTGTATAAGTTAATTTCTATGAAGTATTGTTAAAGAGCTAACTGTGGCCTTTTTATTTTTTGCTGGTTATATCAACTTAACCTCTCTCATACTTTTGCCCATATAGCCAGTCCGCCCCTGTTAGAAAACTAAACTAAACAAAATTCACACAATAAAAAAAGCCAGACCTCATTTGAACTAATGCATAATAACTATACAACCATTTATAATAATGATTTCATAGAAATAATAAGGATTTGCTATATTATTTTAAACTCCACATCTTCATTATTAATTTTGTTCCAAAACAAAAGACATTTGTATTTCACTCTATCTGAACCTTTTTTTTCTTTCATTTCAATTTTTTTTTTAATTATTCATCATTGATCTGCAATTTTTTTTTTTTTGTCATCAATGGCTAACCAATATCTGAGAAAACATATCCACAAAATCATTTATCACTTTGAAAGCAATGGACCAACAAATAGTATTCATTAATATTTTATTCTAAATTGCAGTCAAAAACAGGTATTGTGTTCTATGTGTAACCTATTGATGTGAATTTACTTTCATACCCGATACTATCACTCAGTAATCCAGTATTGAAAAAATTAATTAATTTTATTAAGTTATCAAAAATCTAAAAAATAAAATATAGATACATTAAAAAAAAAAGACTGTATATCAGAATGAACGTAAAATTACTCAATCAAATATTAACTTTTACATTTAATTTATTTATATTGAAAGAAAAAACTACACAATTTAAAGAAAAATGTATATGAGTAATAAAAATAATAAATGACCAATATCATCAATCTAAATTTAAAAAAAAAAGAAACTAGAAAAACATAACTTTAAAAATAGCTTCTCCTTCAAACTTTACCATGAACTTTCTTGAGGACGAGGCATTGGTGGAAGAAATTCAAGCTGATGTTGAGAGTTGATCTGATCCAGTCCAGATAAAAAACGAAAATGAGGTTTCATAAATGGACTTGTGACATCTGTTAACTGCATGCAAAAGATATACAAAATTTGAAGACATTTAAGAAATCAAAAGTAAAGTAAAATTATCTTCCATTGAAGAGTTTTGTAAAATTGAGGCAAACCCATAATTAGCAAGCATTTTGGTGTACAATTATGCCTTTAGAGAATACAGAAGTGTTGACAAATCAAATACATTTGTGTGGAATCCTATAAGAATTTTAAACTAAAATGAGCATCTCCAATGCTGAGAATGTATAGCATGGGGACATGCAGCTTTACAAACTGAATACATGAGCAATAGTAAACAGTTCAAAAAGTGTTGAGTAGTCAACAGTACTGTCTTGTTTGTTTTACAAGTTTTGGATGTTTCTTTAGAAATGAAGAATATTATGTTCTAGTCCCAATCTTTGGCAGGACAGCAGGGCATGGAACACAAGACAATGGTGATGAAATGACCAGGCAAAAAATGAAGTACACAGCTGTTTTTTTTTCTTCCATTAAGCAAGATGTGTTCCATACTGATCATGCTTATTGAGCAGACAGCTCATGTTTCCTTTCTTCAATGTAGTAATTGAAATATGCTATTCTAGATGCTTTCAATTTATATGTACTATTCTACATGCCATTGAAAGAGGTTCTATCCAAGGCAAAAGACAGAGGAATGGAGAAAGACAATAGATAAATCTTGTGTGGTACCCCAAAAGTCCAACAAACTAAGGGATAGGTGAAGGTGATTACTCTAGAGCAGTGTTTCCCAAAGTGTGGTATGTGTTTACTTCAAGGGGTACAGGAACAGTTTGTTAAAATATTAAAATAAAATATTAATAGGCCTATGTTTTGAAAGCACATATTCTATTATATATTTGTACAAAGCTGGTGTTTTTTTACATTTTAAGAATAAAATCTACCAAAAAACAGGAAATGGATAAGGATGTTACAATTTCCCCTAAAGCTCCTCCTTTTTTTAACATCAAATATTTTTTTTAAAATCCTTTTCATTGTTTTTCATAGTACCTCCAAAGAGCAAAAAAAAAAACACTAATTGAATAGGCCTACTGAGTTGCAATTTTTTGATGTACAAATAAAAATGGAGATTGAGAAATATTTTGAAGCTCTGCCATGCAAGTAAATGAGTCCACTCAACTTATAATGCGAATTTTGCAAACTTAATGCGTTTGTTAGATATGATAAAAAAAATAAAAAAAAGAAATTCGTGACGAATTTGTACTTTTTCAGCCTTTATTAGATCACACAATAAAAGAGGGTATCTTTAATGTTATGAATAAATTTATGGAAGACAACAAATTTGATTAGAATAGATGTGTTGGAATATACAAAGATATAGACTCGTTGCAAGAATATCATCTCTCTTGCAAAAGCCCTGGACAGAAACCCTGCTGTCTTGCGTAGTGCATAAATGTCGCCATACAGGTCGAGAATTTTGGGTTTCCCAGACCTCTCGAGACGGAGATTAGCAAGTCTGGGGCAGTCAAACAGAATATGAGGCACGGTTTCCTCTTCTTCCCCGCAGCGGGGGCACCGTGAATCAAAATTTGGCCATAGCCGAGAGAAATATGAGCCAACAGGACAGTGGCCTGTCCTGCACTGTGCTATAATAGCTTGCTCAGGCCTGGACAGCCTCCACCACGGGGAAGTGCAGTCAGGGCGCCTCATGCGCTCCCAGACTCCACGGGCTTTTTGGGACTTGTCCCAGCATTCAAACCACTTTTCCATTTCTGTTTTTTATATTATAGCCAGGGCTTGATGAAAGCTTACAGCCTGATCAGTTGGTGGAATTTGCCCTCCCTGGTGGGCCAAAGAGTCTGCAATTGTGTTGCCAGTCACACCTATGTGACTCGGTACCCACTGCATTATTACAGGGGTACCATAGCGTTGTTTAATGTTTTGTGATGCCATGATGACAGTGTTGATATATGGGGTAGATAATATTAAGGGCGTCATGTGACCAGCACAACGACCAACCGTCTTTACTTTCCACAACTAAAGTCAGGCACCCATTAAAGTTGGGTGGACTTAGGGGCGCCCCCAAAATTTCCGAAATTCAAAATCCCAGTCTTTACCAAGTTTTGAACCCAGGACCCCAAGTTCGGAAGCCAAGCGCTTAACCACTTAACCACCACGTTCCTAACCCCGTTCAATGGTTAGGTATATATCATAATATGTGTGTTACACATGTTTTTTTTAAAAGTATAATCAGAAATCTTGATTATCTGCGGCATCTCTCTTTGATCAAACCAAGGCGACTCTCAACATTGGCAAACTTTTTGGTGTGTCCCTGTTTTTTAAGCTGGCTATCACATTTCTCATCAGTAAATACTGCCTTCGAAGAATTAAATGATGCTCGGCCAGATGTTTGGGGGAATTTGTATGACTTTTGGGAGGACAACTATAGGCCTATTAGTCGACAGAGACGAAGCCGCAGAGTGACTCCAAGATGTCCGATAGCATTATGAAATGTTAGAGATCGGGCACAGGACAATCTATCACGACAATTCAGTGGAGGGATGGCATCATGCATTTCAGCTGACGGTCATCACCTCAATGTTTACAAGTTACTCTCTCACTTCCTCAGAGAACACAACACCGAGAATAAGATTATGAGGTATAATGCTGGAGAACGAAGTAAAGCTGCAAGCAAGATAAAGTAGGCCTACCTACCTACCTTAACTTAACAGACTTCTTGCAGCTATATTGCTATATTGTACGGAAACAAGCCACTGAGTTTCTAAGTGACATTGCATACAATTTAACATTGTGAAAGTTTTTGTTTGTAAGCCCTATGTGTGTGGAAATCTGACTAGTATGCAAGTATCTTTGCGTGTTTTTGAAGTGCACTTTTGGAATCTAAATAAATGATATATTTTGAAATAGCCTATTATAATTCTTGCATAGTGTTTACATTTTTATATTTTAAGATATCTAAAGTGTTTCCTGCAAAATAATGAAAAAATTAAAATAAAAAATATTGGCTTTATTAATATTTTACGGTATCTATAGTATTTTTTGCAGACTTACTGAAAAAAACAACAATTTTCCGTGCTATGTTTTTGGCGCTAATTTGTCGGCGCTATTTTGTCGACGTTATTTTGTCGGCGCTATCTTGTTGGCGCTACTTTGTCGGCGAACCGAAAAAGAAACTACTTCCCATTTCTTTACATATTAGCAAAATAATAATAATAATAATAA